TTCTTCATGATTTTGATGCCGAACAGTAGATCACCTTCTTGATGACTAGATCCCATCAAAAAATCCAAGAACTGGGCAATCTATAGTAGATCGATAAACCCTTTATTACTTTATGCAGTTGGCTGGTCTAGGGCTGCATGAGAATGCTTCAAGAAACCCCAGCCGATGGTTTGATACCAAGTAGAAATTTGCTGAATTAAAGAATATGAAAGAAAAGTAGTTTCTTAAAGGGAGAAGGAAGAGAGAAGGAAAAGAAGAAAAGAAGAGAAGTTGAAAAGAAAAGAGAGCAATAATCTGGCCGCCCCCTTCATTTATTATTTATACTAAAAATAATAGAACAGTACAAAGACGACTATGCCCTTATAGGGCGGCAAAACAAAAAACAACATATATAACACTCAAAAAACATAATAAAAGTTGGACTCACATAACTACTATGGTCCCCACCTCCTATCTAACAACTAACATAAAACATTTACTCAGAAAAACATCATAAAACTGATTAATGTTCAACAATATTATTTATTTATTTAGTTATGAATATATTATTTATATTGTATTTTTATAAATTATATATATATGTGATAAAAATAATTAAAGAATACTTGTATTTTTTTATTTTTTCTTTATTTAAATTAATATATTTTATTTTTTCTTTTAATAATTTATTAATTTTTAAAGAAAACAAGTCGGATCAAATCAGATCCGAAGATCCGACATAAACAAGTGGTCACAAATGTTATGTATGTATTCACCATGGGTGCCCCCCCATTCACCAAAACCAACTCCGGCTCATTTGACAATTAGGGTGAAGTAGGCAAAGGAGTGGGCCCTCCAATATCCATTCTTAAAAATGTAGACCTCTTTTAAATTTTCAGACAAATTTGATCTATCAAATGCCATCCTAATGTCTTTGTCTATCATGTTCAACACGGTTTCTTCCATAGTCTAAACAGAAGATAGATACATCATACATGGAACATGTTCTGAGACTTAGGTTGCTCAACCTCCCCTAATGGGATGCATTCATAATAGAAGGGGGATGCAAAAAGTTAGATATATACCGATGAATGACTTGCAAAATAGGAATTGTTTATGTATGGAGAATTTGTTTTCAACCTAATTTTGTGTTAAACAAAACTGCCACAGTTACGAAATAACATTTCTAAACCACTTTTTGCATAGAGAAAACGTTAGAAGGTGAAGCTCCATGGTTCAATGACCAAAGTATTGACATTTTGCTTACAAGCAAGAATGCACATGCATTGCATGTGGTATTAAATAGAAAAGATCAGAGGCAACTTTATGTAGATTTTCTCCTTTTTTCTTTTTGCACTTTCAAAGACTTGCAGAAGTGGGGTTTGATCAAACCATGGGAACATTTTTTGCAATGCATTCAATATGCAAATTAATTCTCACTATTCAATGCTACAAGAGGTGGAGAAAACAGGTAATCAGTCAAGGATGAATGCATCGCATTGGTTCAATCAAGCTTTTTGTTCAATTTTTATATAAACAATTCTTTCTTAGGCCTCATTTGGTTCGTGAGAATAGGGGTTTGGAATCAGAATCAGAATTGAAATTGATTATTTCGATTCCAACTATTTGGTTGGATGGAATTGGAATCTCATTTTCATTTGAGAGAATGACCATTCCCTGCCCCTCCCTTGAAAATGAAAAATTAGAATATAGAAATGGATCATTCCGGTTCTCATTCCAACTGCCAAGCAAAGTTACCAAACAGACACTTAGTTTAATTTAAATGCTATACTATTAATCAGGATAACCAATTTCTATTAAATGTAATATACACACACATACGATTTGATACGTAAATACAATTTATAGAATATATTTTATATTATATTTAAGTATAACATATATCTTGTATTATATTTAAAAGTGCGGTCCTATTTGGGTTGGGCCAATGTAAGACTGTGGTGCAGACCAGCTGGCCAGGCCTAGGCCCGGGCTATACCTCTTATTGGTTAAGGGGACATTTGAGAACAGCTGAAATATATAAACTGAAAAAACTTATTGCCTTGTCTTTTAGTCAATAAGATTTTAAGGAGGTTGTGGGACGGTTTTTAAGATACAAATATATACAGAAGTAGGGCTGAGTTTGAAAGAAATACAAATGCAAATATATAAAGTGCAAAACCTTATATTTTATATTATTTTGCATGTATTTACACCGTACATATTTACATTTATACTGTTTGTAAACTGAGTTCTAATAAATTCAAATGAGACAAAAAAAATATGTTTTTATATGAAATAAGAGTATAAATTATAATTACAAATAAATAGATGCAAAACTGAATTAGAGAAAATTTGTATCTAAATCTGGTTCAGATTTACATTGCAACTAAATGCTGCCATAAGAACAAAATTTGGCAGAACCTGAATTACATTTTACTAATGTAATCTTTAACGATTCAAATTAAAATAATCTAGTGCACTTTGTATTTAAAGGAAAAGCAATTTCCTTTTTCTTGGATATTATATGGCTTGCAATCCTTAGAACCAGTTCATTATTTAATCAAAGGAAACAAACAAAAAGGAAAAACTTATTGTACTGGGTAGTGGGTAAGATGTTATAAATGAAGTGCCTCACCAGCTGGACACTTGTTTAGCCTCTCCCCCCAGGACACTAGATATATGTTGGAAGTAATAACTCCCATGCCAAACGTATTAATAGCTTTTGATATGTGACAATAGGCTGTGTGCATGCATGGAGACCTCCAGTCTTATTACACCTGTAAAATATGACCTGATGGTACAACTTGGGGCTTTGAAAGAACTATGGGAAGCTGAAAATGAAGTGGATTGTAGTGGAAAAAGTATCTAAGGATTCAATTTAATAGGGCTTGGTGACTAAGTACAAGTTTATCCACTCAAAACTCTTACCTAACTTATGTTTATCATTTATGCCTTCTTCGTTTTTTTGGTAAGTTACTTACTCATGTTCTAGTGTATTTATTTATCTTCTTTTATTTGAGAAAGTTTTTCTTGGGAAACATTTGCTTGGATAAATGTATTTACCTATGTTCTTTTATTTCTCATGTAAATAAGGCAATGACCATTTTAGCCATAAAAATCCATTATTAAAAGGGGCATTTTTGTCTCATTCAAGTGTTAGCAACTTTCTCCCTAGGTGGAAAAGTTTTTTACCCACCTAGGAGATGGGTATCACTTACCCAAGTAAGTGGTACCCAGGAAAATGAACTTTCCCTGGTCCCCACATAAATCTGAAAAAAGAACAAGGGATTCTTGGTCAATGGGAACCAAAATCCCATTGACCAACTTCCCCCCTCTCAAAATCCGAAAAAAGAACGCCCCCCTTAGGCCCGTTCGCTTTTTGGTAAGTTACTTGTCCGGGTAAATGCACTTATCTATGTAAGAGTTTCCCAAAAAAGATTTACCCGGGTAAATGCATTTGCCCTTGTTCTTTTATTTCCCATGCAAACAAGGCAATGGCCATTTTAGTCATAAAATTCTGTTATTACAAGGGATATTTTTGTCCCATTCAAGTGTTGGCAACTTTCTCCCAATGTGAGAAAGTTATTTACCCACCTAGGAGATACCGAGGAAAATAAACTTTTCCTGCTTTCCACATAAATCTAAAAAAAGAACATGAAATTCTTGGTCAATGGAAATCAAAATCCCATTGACCAACTTTCTCCCCTCTCAAAATCCAGAAAAAAGAATGCCCCCATAATAATAATAATAATATGTTTTTATCGAACTGACCGGTTTAATTGTTGTATTTACTATAGTGGCAGAGGTTCAAGTCTCGTACAAATATTTTTGATAATTTTTAATTCTATTAATTAATTACATATGATATATTGGCTGATGACCATGAACCGGGCTTCTAAACTAGCAAGTATTTTTTTTTAAATATTATATATAATAGAAATAGAAACAAGTATTCACTTTATATAATAAAAGATGTGCGTTTTATGTATCATATTGTAATAATTTTTTGATTGGTCATGTAATAATGTAATATATATGCGTACTACTGGTTGGTTCAGGCCTAAGATATTGGGCCCAAGCCTGGTTTCCATGGTTTAATGCAAATCAGGCCTGAAAACAAAACCTAGGACTAGGCCCGAGCTTGCAAAATTGTAGGGTGTTTGGTTTCATTTACGTTTATCCAATAAACATTTTGTACTTGTATGACTGCAAAACCGAGACAAGCATTTAATGAGAGCGCTTATGACACATAGGCGCCATTAGGCACCACATCAACAAAATGCCAATAAATGTGTAATCATTTCAGACATCTCTAAAATGAAGTTTCCTGAAATGGGAGAGGCACACAGAAACCAAAGTTTGCTTTTGCAAAGTTTAATACACACAAATGCAATTAATGATGCATTTGCTGATGGGCACCTATATGGCACCATCAATAAACATTTACTATATAAATATAAACAGGACCAAACATATACTTGTTTGTGTCGGATTGAAAATGATCAAGCCCTACTACAACATCCAAATATGATTAGTGTCCTTAAACCCTATTAAGGGGGATGTTCCACAATGTGAATTGTTTTCCTTGTTGCAAAAACCACTTAGTTTTAAAATAATTTATTTTCAAAATAAAAATATGAAAAACATGTTCTTTGTGTTTTAATATAGTTTGTATATAGGTGTTTTCTGTTTTCAAAACTAAAACAAAAAACGCCTTAAATATAGTTTGTGTTTGGTTTATTGCTGGCGTGGCAATTTAAAAAATAAATGAAAACAAAAAGAACACCGCCTAAATGTTTGGTATTTATGCAACACGAAAGAAGGTGGAATCAAACCTAAACCCATAGCCGGCTCGACCCATTAACCCAGTCGGCGCCTCCAAAGTCCAAACAAATATATGAATAAAAGAAATTTGAATTTTTACTTTTTAGTTTTGTACGGAAGAATCATGGCAAAATGGTAATTTAATAAGATGTTGAATTAAATAGAGTGGAAATGAAGCGAACTCCTAAGTCCTAACCCGTTGCAAGCCCAAAACCAGAGAAAATACATTTTTTAATCCCTCGTTTGGTGCAAGTTCTCCGTCTCCTTCTTCCCGTGTTTTTAAATTATATAAATTAAAACAAAAAACAAATTCCGAGCAGAGAGAAGGGAGATTGAGAGAAGAACACCCAGCTTCTCTCCTCTGGATCCAGATCTCCTCTCGCAGGCCTTCTCTGAGACCTGGTTTCTCTCTCTCGTATTCGCTACCTTTAGATGCCATGGAGAATCGTCGAATTCCGGCGTTTCACCTCTGGATCTCTGCATTTCTGCTGCTCCTCGTCCGTGGGAATTGCTTCTACCTCCCTGGCGTCGCTCCGGAGGATTTTGAGAAGGTCAGTTCTCAGTTGATTGCTTATGTCTCGCTTCGTTCTTGTTAATCAAATTGTGGGTCTTGTTCTTTGATCTTTGGTATTGCCGTTTTCGGTTTGACCTAGGATTGATGGTTTGGATTTGGTTATTATTGGTAGATCTGTATTTTCTTGCCCCAGATCTGTGTTGGGTTTTCGTCATTTTGTGGAGAACTTTGGTCTTTGTTTCTTATTTATAAAGAAAATGTTATCCTGATATGAAGAGTTGTTTATTTTTTCCCTTTTTCTTTCTTTCTTTTTGGCTTAGTTCACTCAAGCTTCTTTTAGTTCTGTGTTTTCAAATTTCAATGGATGGATATGGTGTAAGTTTTCGGATACTAATCGACTTGTTACGAGCTCATGAAGGATGGATGAGTTGGATTGGAAATTTTGGGGGACAATGGACATTTAACTCGAGAAATTTGTTTATGATTATCCATTCCGTGAGGGATAAGTGGATAACTTCTGGTTTAAAGGAAGTCTCTGCTTTTCCCTTTCTTTCACGCACTTCAATACGAGGGGATAGATCTGCACTTAATGAACTCGTTTGAACGCGTGGAGCTTAATTTTAAATACAAAAGGCTAAAGATATAGTCGTAGTTGAGCTAGATATGGTTAAGAAGTGTGGCGAAAGTAGCCGTGCTTCAGTTGTACTGGATCAAGACTTGATGAGTTACTGACCAAGATATGAGCTTTTGCAGTCTCCTTGAGGGAGTGAGGAAACCCAATGATGGATCTTTCAAACTGGAAGACCTGGTAACCCTGATGGGTTGTTTTCTTTCTCCTTAGAGTGTTGCTCATTCTATTTAACGCTTCTCTGTTGTATTTTTAGTCTGGTTGCTTCAGTCATCACAAAAGCGATCCCTCATTGTTCATGGCACCTAATTGTTTTTACGTTTTGAAATTAACTCAATTGTTCATGGCACCTATTCTGGGTTAATTTCAGTCTAGGTCCATTCAGGTTCAAGGGGAATTTATAGTTGATGTTTCTAATGAAATTAATTTGGAACCGAGTTTGTCCACATGTAACTATGTAAGGCCTCTGAAGCAACGCTAAAGCAAGGACTTTTTTTGAAATCACCATAAATATAAAAGAAGGGCCAAGCAGCTCTCGCAACTTTTGCTTTACTCGCTCTGCAAATGTATAACTTGAAGTATCATGGAACATTGAATTCTTTCTGTTCCCCCTATTGGTTCTTATTTGAACCTGATGATTGATGTGTTTTTTCCTAAGCAAAATTGACTTGGCAAAGTAAGCATAACAACAAATAAGTTACATTTTATGTAGGATTGTCCTTATAGGTGTGAATGAAGGCTGATTGAAAATGATTAATAAATTAATTAATTAATAAAAGAAGGGATAGTAGTAGAGGAGATAGTAGGTCTATCCTTGGCTTAGGAAACTGGTTACTTGTGGATTTGTTCACAATGGTAACCTAGAGGACTAGAGTAGGCCCTAGCTGCAGATGACTTAGGGGATGTTTTCTTCATGGTTGTGTTCGTGTTTTGTTTGTTTTATGAACACAAACAGCATGCTGTATGTCATTTGTATGCTATTGCTGGTTTTGGGACCAACAATCCATGGTTACCAGCAAAATGTTTTTTTTTTTTTCAAAACAACTTTTCATAGCTTCTCGACCAAAAAACATTGTTCACTTGTGTCTCACACACCAATATGGCTTAAGCCATAATGTTTCTATTTGATGATAATCGTGTGATTAAAAATAAGTAGTGAAAGTACATGTGCATGTAAATCATGTTGTCAATGCTTACTTACCATGGTTCAAAAAATAAACCATGAATAGAAGATTCTCTTTTGCATTTTGTGGTTTAAAAGAAATTATTGTCGCTTTTGAAAAGTATTGGTATGGCTTAAGAGTGCATATTTTTTGGGACCTGATTATAGGTTTTGGCTGACCTGAAGTTGTGTTTTCTTTATCATGATCTTGTGGCTTTATTATGGAATTTTTTTATTCAAAATTATACTTGCAATACTTATTTTGTTAATCCACTAAAAATGATGATTAAACAGGTAGAATGCCCTGAGTTTTTCCCTTTCTGAGTTCTGACAAAATCCTCACCAGGCTGACTTGTTTGCGTTGGAGTAATTGTTTGTTTTTTTAAGGAAACCATTTTAGTGAAAAAGAATTTATGCATACTTTTTTGCGACTTCATTTGGTTGTCTTTTCTCTATACCCTTCAATGACTCGTTTCCACGTAGAAGATACTCTTTGACACTATTCTAATGTTTTTTTTTTTTTTTTTAATTTCAATTTGTAATTTTTCTTGATGATGTTTGGGTGCAGGGGGATACTTTGAAGGTTAAAGTGAACAAGCTGACCTCTACAAAGACACAACTTCCATATTCTTACTATTCTCTTCCTTATTGTCATCCAGACGCTATAATTGACAGTGCAGAAAATCTTGGGGAAGTTCTTCGTGGTGATCGTATTGAAAACTCTCCCTATGTGGTTAGCTAAATGTCTTTTTGCAGCTCTCCATTCTTGTCCTTTTTGGATATTGCAGTTGTTTTATTTCTTATGATTAATGTTGTTCTGTTGCAGTTTAAAATGAGGGAGCCACAGTTGTGTAATATTGTCTGTCGGGTAAAACTTGATGCAAAAATGGCCAAGGAATTTAAGGAAAAGATAGAGGATGAGTATCGGGTCAACATGTAAAAACACTGTTCTTTTGTGGCTCCTAAATTGTAAAATGAATTCCTTGACAATTGCAATCCCTTAAATTTCAAGGGTTATCTTTTCATGGATCTCTGTTGCATGTAACAGGATCTTGGATAATCTTCCTCTGGTTGTTCCTTTACGAAGGCCTGATCAGGAAGCTCCAACAGTCTATCAACATGGCTTTCATGTTGGGCTCAAAGGACAATATACTGGAGTAAATTCCTATACTGATTGGCACAGAATGATGGAATTTGTGAAATGTTTATACTAGTGCTATTGCTTAGCTTATTGTTATTTTCTTAATTATATGCAGAGCAAGGATGAAAAGCATTTTATCCACAACCATTTACAATTTACTGTCAAATATCACAAAGATATACAAACAGACTCTGCAAGGATCGTGGGATTTGAAGTCAAACCATTTAGGTTGGTTCTTGTCGTGTCCATACTATCTTGTTGGAAGTTCATTGTACTGATTGTGTTCAGTATTTTAGGTTTTTTCTCATTACATGGTATCTTATTCCTTTGATGAATCCAGTGTTAAGCATGAATATGAAGGTGAATGGAATGAGAAAACTCGCTTAACTACCTGTGACCCTCATGCAAAACGAACAGTTACTAACTCTGATTCTCCTCAAGAGGTTGAAGAGAACAAGGAAATCATATTCACATATGATGTTGACTTTGAGGTGAGTCCTGTACCAAGTATTTAAATAGGCTGCTTATTCTTTTTAAATTGTCAAAGTGTTCTCTCTCTCTCTCTCTCTCTCTCTCTCTCTCTAGATATATCTCTTCTTTTTTTCTTTGGTGGGGGGTAGACCTGTTCATGGGCCGGGTGACCCGACGGGCCGGCCCAGCCCGGCCCGACCCCCGGACGGGCTTGAACAGGCTTTTTGGCCCGCGGGCTTAACCTCGGGCCAAAAAGCCTGGCCCGCATAAAATTTGAGTCGGGCTCGGGCTTTGCCAAAATAGCCTGGCCCGAGCCTGGCCCGGCCTGACCTATAGTTAAACCTAAGTAAACCCGGCTCGACCTATAGTTAAACCTAAGTAAAAACCCTATGTGATGTCTATTTGAATAAATTTTTTGATTTGAGGTCATTGATTCACTTGTASRYMCATTGTTCATTTAAATAGGGGAAAAAAACATTTAAATTAAAATAGAAAATGTCGGAAAATTTTGAATTTCTTTTATTAGGTCGGGCTTCGGGCTT